GCTCCCAGAGGGCACATCCCCTTGGTTGCAGGGACTTCATGCCCCATGGAGGGATGCTGGTTGGAGGAGGACCTGAATAAAAAACACTATATATTTTTTTTTAAGATTTTTATTTATTTATTTGAGAGAGAATGAGAGACAGAGAGCACGAGAGGGAAGAGGGTCAGAGGAAGAAGCAGACTCCCCGCCGAGCAGGAAGCCCGATGCGGGACTCGATCCCGGGACTCCAGGATCATGACCTGAGCCGAAGGCAGTCGCTTAACCAACTGAGCCACCCAGGCGCCCAAAAAACACTATATTTTTTTTTTCCAAAACCCTCTAAAGCATGGGACCCAGGGCAAGAAGGAGCTAAGAGTAATATTACCTCTCGGAGTAATCTCCATCTGTAAAAAGGGGATATTAACAGGCCCTGCCCCATAGAGCTGCTCGGAATGTTAAATGAGCCAATACACATAAGTTCATGACATGAAGTAGTTCACAAATGCCAGTAACTGTTATAAATAATATAAATGGACAGAGACCCTAGAAACCAAGCAGGGAAGCAGAAAACAAGTTCTAACACCTTGCCCTTTAATCTACTTTGGTTTCTGTTTTCTTCCCTATTTTGAAAAGCAGCCCTGTCCCCTGTCCCCATTAGGAGGACAGAGTTGGACTTGGAATTCAGTGTGGGAGGATTCTGCGTGAAAAGTGCAGCCTCCGCCCCCGCCCCCTGCCCCCCCCCCCCCCCCCGTCGCCGCTACCCACTGCCAGCACGGACTGAAAGGCTCGGGGCTTGGGAAGTCCTAGAAGTTCTCATCTGCCCGTGGGGCCCTCATCACACCCCCAGAGCTGGGAAGGGGGGCAGGCAGCATGGAAAGGAATCTGGTTGAGGGCTGTATTTCAGTAGCTTCTGACTCCAGAGCCACCCCAGAGAAACGAGGATGTCACAAAAGCAGGCTCTGCAGGACCTTCAAGAAAGAGCACCGAGTCCCAGCTGCTCTTTTCCGTGATGGGGAGCCTGACACCCAGAGGGGAGAGAGGTCTGTCCCAGGTTACACAGCAGCCACTTGGAGGCAGGCTCAGGGTAGAACTGGACTTCCAGTTCAGGCCTGGACTGCGTTCAGCGCACCGGGCAGCCCTGGTCTGTGCCAGGGGAAGGTAGAGACGTGGAGACCAGAAACACACACACGGGATAGGAGGTTACAACTAAAAACTGACTCCCAGACCCAGCTGTGCTTCTCAGTACATATGAGACCTCAGGTCCTCACTTTGCTCTCTCTGCTAGACATCTGTCTCTGCAATCCGCCGTCAGGCTGAAAGAGAAAATTAATAGTAATATTATTAGGGTTTGTTGAGCACAGGGTCAGGTACTCTGTTAGGTTCTTTCTCCTTTTATCTCATTTAATCCTCAGACACCCCCGTGAGTTGGGAACTAGTATTGCCCTCCTCCCATTTTCTGGATGAGGAACCTGGGGCTTAGAACAGCTAAACACCTCTCCCAAGGTCACGGAGCGAGCTAAGTGTGCGGCAGAGCCAGGGCAGGAACCTGCGGAAGCCTGCGCTCTTGACCACTGAGCCACCGCCACCTCACCTGCTGCCAAGAGTCCTACACAATGACGTTGTCAAATAGGTGTCAAAAAGAGTCAGGGAAATTCCGTGGACTCACTGGATGGGGTCTCCCAGAGGAAAGAGGAGCCCTGGGCGTCACAGTGAGAGTAAGAGTGCTGTTAATAAGTGGGAATTCATAGAGGAATTCAGACCTCGCCTAATTTGTGCCAATATCCTGTTTCTTCTACATGACCTCCTTTCCAAAGCCCACTGTTTTCCACACGACGGATCCTCCCCCTTCTCAGGGAAAATCCATCCATCCCATCAGCCCAATTCCGAAGAGCCTTGGCTTCCCTTGGGGCTGCAGATCCGCCTACCGCCACCAGAGGGCAGGCCAGCTCTGTGGCAAGTCCTGAGGACCCAGCAGCCACAGAGACTGCCCAAGTGTCCAGCCAGGCAGGGATGGACCCAGATGCCCTATGACACAGCCATCCGCTACATCTTGCTATCAGCTTACTCCCTCCGATGTCAAAACATCTAACTGCAGAAGCAAAACTCATGTTCACACATGGTATCTGATTCTCGTGGGGTAAAGATCTTAAGAACTACCACCAGAAACAGTAAGGACAATTGTTACCACCACACACTCGGGTCAGAACTTCATTTCACTAAGCATTTCCTCATATGGGGAGTGGCTGGAGATTTACTGAAGCCTTATGAGTATGTTCCCACTGTACACATGAAGAGATGGAAGCGCCAGAACAGGGAATAACTTACTTAGGGTCACCTAGAGAAAGCTGGTCTTCAGACCGGAGGGAGAACTGCTTCCAATGCCCTGCCCCTCTGGAGGTGCGATGGGAGGCGGGGGGCAGAATGCAGGTGTGGACAGGGAGGGGAGCAAGGGGTCAGAATGCTCTACCAGGAAGACCAAATGCATTGCGTTATTTCCTGTAAAGCAACCATCCACCCCAACCCCCCATCCATCCATCTACCCAAAAGGGTTCATTGAGCATTTGCTGGGGACACAAAGATGGATGAGAGGAGTTTCCTGCCCTCAAAAAGCTGGCAGTCTAGTAGGGGAAAGTGGTGAGTCAGCAGATAATTATAGGAAACTGCATGCACGCCCCTACGATGGGATAGGAGCAGAAGGGTCTGTGACCCCCTCTGGGGTACACTCAATTTGGAGGTGTCCCCGGGGCTCCCAAGGCCAAGGATTATGGGCAGGGGCATCCCTTCCCTGCATCTCACCCCCGGAAGGGGGATCCCGTCCCAGCTTCGGGAGCTGGCCTGTGTTGGGGAGCCGGGGTCCCCCTCCCACCCCTCTCAGAAGATCGCGGGCCCAGGGAGCCGATGACAGCACACCTGAGTCAGCCCGCCGCCCACCCGCCCCTCAGCGTCTGTCTCCGCATCTTGTGATATTTCGCTCCCCGGGAGCCAGCCCCACTGCGCTCCGGAGGCAGCTCGGCAAACAAACCCAGTGACAGATTGTGCCGCGGCTCATTCCGGGGAAGGACGCCAAATCCCACCCTGCTACCCCCAACACTCCCTCCCCGCCGCCCCCTCCAGGCCCTCCTCCCAGGCGCGGGGCCTCGGCAGGGTGGGTCCCAGGAAACGCTGGGGCCTATTCCTGCCTTCTAGAGATGGGAGGGGGACTGGAGCCCCAGAGACGCGCTTTCCGCTCCTTCCTCTCCGGAACAGGAGCGGCGCGGGAGAGGACATTAGGTGCGGAGGGAGCCCAGGAAGGGCGGACGATAAACCAGCAGGGGGCGCCCGAGCGTCCAGGTGCAGGAAGGCCGGGAGCCTGCCAATGAAATGGGGGCGAGGGTGGGGGGGAAGGTAGACACTGGGAAAGAGACAAGAGACACAGAGACGTAGAGTCTGAGAGGCAGGGGGCCACGGGACGGAAGGGAGGCGACAGGGACAAGGAGAGACAGTGAGAGAGAGAGAGAGAGAGTGATAGAGACAGATGCATCAAGATTGGAAATGACAGGGAGAGGAGAGAGGAAGGAGGGGGGAGAGGGGGGAAAGAATGGGGCGGGGGGGGGCGTGGAACAGAGAGACAGAGACTACAAAATATGAATAAGGGTGGAGGAAGGAAGTGAGAGAAATCGAAGGAGAGCCAGGGAAGAATGAGAGGCTACGCGTAGAGCAGAGAAGGAATGGGAAAAAGAAACCGGCATTTATAAAGCGCCGACTGTATGCCCGGTGCTGTGTTGGACTCCGGCACCGACTGGGGAGGAGGAGCCAGAGAGCGAGGCAGCGGGGCGAGGGGTTCCTTTTCTGTGCTCCCGGGAGCGGCCGCCCGGGGCTCTCGCGCTTCCTCGGGTGAGGCTGCGTGCAGATGGCCCTGGCCTGCGCCGCAAGCGCCTCTCCCGCAGCTCCAAACCCGCGGGTGCCGCAAGGCCGCCGTCCCCGAAGCGCCTACCCGCGGCGCCCCGCGCCTGTCCGGAGCCGCGGCGGCTCCAGAGGGCAGGCTGCTCGGCGCCCCGGGCTGGGTCTCGGCCGGGGTCATCGTCATCGCCGCCTTTGTAAGGAGACGCTTAGGTCACGGATCGGATGGTGCGGCCGCGAGAGGCGGGAGGGACCCCGACAAGAGCAGAATGCACCCCTCTTTTAGAGGAAGAAGAAGCTCGAGTGAAATCAATGGTCTCCTCCCCACGCGGGAGATGAGATATTCCCTTTAGGACACATCACACATACACATAAAAATGCACACACTCGCGCGCGCACCCAAACTTGCACCCGCTCACCAATGCATTAAGGGGCACACACCCTTGCCACCCATCCCAAGCTCACTTCGCGCCAAACTCTCGAACACCTCACGGTTCCCACCAGTGCGGACGCGCACGCTGGTGGGCACTCAGCGGCTTACCCATTCGCACATTCACGCGCCCTCGCCCTTCCTCGGGCCCGTTTAAAAGGTCGCGCGCAAGCACTCTAGGGTCACACCTGCACAAGTGTCCTTGTGCGCGCGTGCACGTTCATAGGCACTCAATCTTGCACACGCAATCTCTTGCATATGCTATTCTTATAGTCGCGCACACTCTGGGCTTGGGGTCTGGGAAAGGAGGGGAAGGTAGAATCTAGGGGAGAAAAACGGCGGAGGCCTGGACATTGGCGCCGGGGACGCCGCAGGAGGGGGAGGTGACCCAGGAGCCCGGGAAAGTTGGGAGGGGGAACTGGCCAAGCCCACGGGGATCCCTCACACTACTGCACCGCCCCGCCCCCCCCCCCCGGAAAGGCTTTCTCTCGAAACGTGGCTCCGCGAAGGCGATCGAACACCGTCCTCCGGGTTCCCCAAGGATGGGAGGGGGCCGGGATGGAGGGGGCTAGAGAGCCGCTCCCGCCTCCTAGTGGCCAGGAGAGGGTTAAGTCGGCTAGCTAGGAAGCGAGGGAGGAGCCAGCGAGTGCGGGAAGGAGTGGGGGTGGTTGGGAAGAGCATCCTCGCCGTCCCCACTCTCCCTCGGCGAGCAGCCGGGGCGCACGGACCGACGGACTGACGGACTCGCGCGCTGCCTGCGCTGCTGGGGGGCGCCGGCACGAGGCGTCGACGGCCAGCTCCAGCCCTCCCAGCCCCGTCGCGCCCCGCCCCGTCCCGTCGGGGCCGATGGCTCCTCCCGAGGCCCGCAGCCCGGGGGGCGCAGGGTAGAGCGCCGCGGCCGGGCCACACAGCCCGGGGACTCCCGGGCCCTCCCGGAGCCCCGCGGAGTCCCCGCCGTCCGTCCGGCGGGCTCAGGGAGCTAGAGGGAGCGCCCTCCCCCCGCCGCCCCCTCCCCCGAGCGTCGAGACAAGATGCTGCCCGGGCTCGGGCGCCTGCTGCAAGGTAGGGACCCCAACCCAACGGTGGGCGGAGGGCAACCAGAGGAGGGGAGCCAGGGTGCCCCCTCCCCCCAGGGCGTGAGGGTGGGGCCGCTGTGGGGGTGGGGGGTTGCCTGGGGAGGGGGTAGAGCTTAGCCCGGAGCCCCGCCCCCGCGCCCAGGGCTGCCGGCTGGAGGAGCGCACCCGGCTCGGAGCCTGCTGGGAGGTGCGGGTAGCTCGTGACCGAGGGGGGACGCTGGGGCAGGCGGACCCGGCCCGGGCTCCACCTGCTCCGGGGGACGCTGAGGACTCTGGCCGGCTGGGGAAGCGCCGACTCAGCAACTCCTCGTGCCCCGTGCCTCAGCACTTTCCAGTCACCTGGGAAGACAGGGGGTGTGGGTAGGGGGCTGTCTGGGTGGATAGGAGGCTCAGAGGGAAATCCAAACGGCCCTGCTTAGGAAGACAGATGGAGGGCGCTAGAAAGGGGGATAGTTCCACGGACTGAGTGACAGACTAGGGTGTGGACCAGATTGGGGGTGGGGTGGGGAAGGGGTCAGAGAGAGGGGGAGAGCGAGAAGCAGTCGCTGATGGAGAAAGTGGTTAGGGGAGGGAGAGAGAGGAGGAATAAAGGTTAGACGGGAAAAGCATGGAGGGAAATGGGACCCAGGTGAGGACGGAGGAAGAGAGAAGGAGAGGGGAGACCAGATTCACAGAGGGGTGGAGAGAAGGCGAGGGAGAGGAACCCAGAATCCGGAAGGCAGGGTGGGTAATGGGAAAGAGGAGGGCTGGGACCCTGGGGCCTGGGAAGGAAAGGGGAGTGGGAAGATCGGAAGCCTGACAACCAGAGGGACGCGGGTGGCGGATAGAGATGGGGTGTCAGGAGCCGGGAAGAGGGTCAAGGATGAGCGCTCTGGTTGGGGACAGGGAACCACAGAGGGGAGAGCGGCTGGGGGCCGATGTGGATGGGGATGTAGCTGGGAAGGAAGGAGGAGGAGGAAGAGGACAAGATGGGAGGGGGGCTGCCCAGGGATGAGACAAAGAGGCTTCTGGTAACCACTTCCACGTGGGAAGCCCTCCATTCCCAAAGCGCCTGCCTGTCACATCTCTTCTCTCAGGGAGTGGTTGCTGGGCCAGCCCCGGGTGGGGGGCTCAGCTCTGGGCCTTGGGGGCGGCTGTGAGGGGGAAAGGGTGAGGACATTCGAGTGGGGCGGCAGCCTCCAAGGGTGGGCACCCTGGTTGGCTGCATGCTGCCATTTATATCTCTGGGCCCCGTCGTCGTCGCCGTCGTCGGATCCAGCCACCGCCAGCACGGTGGCTGCTTAATTTGGGGTGTTACATTCTGGCAGAGTGAGAAGCTGTTTGCAGCAGCTCTGAACCTCCGTCACCCGCATCAGTGCTCCCCCAGGCCCCTGCGTCACTGGTATTGCCACCACCTCCATTCTGCTCCGCGCTCCCACCTCCTCAGCCCCTGCCCCCTCAGCATCTGCCTGCCAGGCCCCAGCCCTTCCCAGCCTCTTGGGTGTGGAGCTGTGGCTGCTCAGCTGGGACTCTGGGTCCTTCCTTCAGAGCCAGAGCCCTCGATTCCCCTTTCAGGGAGCGCCTTTTCCAGGGTTCCCCTGCGCCCGGTTGGGTTAGCACCCTGGCACCTGCCCTCCACCCAGAGTGCATCTACCTCCTCCCCAAGCTCCTTCTTTCACCAGAGCCTCGGGACTAAAAGGTGGTTCCTGGGGTGAGAACCTTGCTTCTGAGCCTTGGGACTCCGGGGTGATGGTCCAGAGTCCTTGACGATGGTCCCTCGGTGAATGGATACTTTTTGGCTCTCGGCACCTCAGCCTTCCGGGATCGATACCATGTTCTGGCCTCTCTCCGCTCCCTCCATAGGTCAATCCTAGCCACGTCTCCTGGACACTGGTCATTCCTTTTTGACTCCCAAACGGGCCGTCCCTTAGAGCAGCCACAAGCTGGAACCCAGAAGAGGAAAGTTGCAGAGAGCCTGGGTCCCTTCTTTGCTCTCACCCCAAATAGCATCATGGCTGGCCCAGCCCCGTGCACCTGGGTGCACTTTCTGTCTCCCTTGACCTCAAGGGCAGTGACTGTCACACTCAGGTGTGGTTTCTGTGGATGATGTGAGGTCTCCCAAAGAAAGGTCAGAGAGTCTCTTCTGACATGGACTCATCCGGTCTATACTAACTGCATGACCTGAGGCAACTCTCTGTGCCTGAGCCTCCCTCCGCTCAGCTGCAGGTTGGGGGCAATAATATTAATCCACAGGGTTATACTATGTTATACTCTATGCACAGATACAGTGTCTGGTACACAGTAGGTGCTTAATAACAGAGGGCTTCTGCCCATCCCTGCTCTGCGCTCCCCTGCGGCTCTAGCCATCACCTGCTGACTTTAGAAAAAAGGAAGAGGAGGAAAGAGAGAGGATGGGGTGAGCCAAGAGGGTGCGGGAGGCTGTCACCAGGGGCTCTCCTTAGCCTGTATAAGGAGTGAGCGGCGAAATGAAGGCCTCAAGAAAGATACTAAAGGCAGACTGTCAGAGATCCGGGTCAGGAGGCCTGAGCTACTCCCTCCGAAACTGGTCCTTCCCTCCCCAGCCCTCAGGGGCTCTGCCTGTGAACTAAGGGGGGTTTGCTCTTGATGGCCACTGAGGTACCCCCCCCCCTTCCAGCTCCAACACTTTGCATCTTGCCCTAGTCTTTGCCAGGGAGTCACAAGATGGGGGCTGGGAGTGGACGTATGGTCCTCAGGGAGGGAGAAAAGACAAGGCCTGGAGGGAAGGAGCAATGGTGAGGAGCTGTGGGAAGCAGGGGGTGGGGAAGGAAAAGGGCACGCGCGCACCGGGCAGGGACTGAGCGCGGAGGAGGGAGAGAGTGGCATGGCTCGCCAGCCCCCACTGCCTCTGCCCAGCAGCGCTCCAGCCAGGCCTGGGGGCCGAGAAGCCCAGAGCCCCCCACCTTCCCCTCCTCCTCGCCTCCAGTGACAGCCGCAGCCTGAATTATGGATGAGGCTCCTTGGGTTACAGCTGCTTTGCCCGGCGGAGAGGGCAAGGAATGGCAACAGAGTCATGGTTACGCTGCAGCTGTCACTGAGGGGGCCCCTGCTCAGGGCCCCTCCTCAGAGAGCCTGCAGGGAACACCATCTCCGACTTGGGGCGGTGGGCCATGATGGGGGTAGGTGTGGGGACCGGCCAGAGGGGGCGTGGGGAAAGACGAGAGGAGCCCCCTGATGTGGACAAGCAGGGAGCCAAGGAGTTGTAAATCAGCCCCTGCAGGCTTGGCCCCCAGGCCAGAGGAGACCCTGGGGCCAGGGAGTGGCCCTGGGATTCTGGAGCGCTCTGGAATCACACATCCTTCCCTCTGTCTCTTTTGGGGTGCCAGTCAGCCCTAGAGGCTGGAGCGAAGAGCTCCATAATCCACTGGAGGGGTGCTGGCCGTCAGAGCTCACACTCTGGTGAGCTTTGTGGCTCAGGGGTGGGATTAATGATCAGAAAAGGATTTGACTTCCTCTGGTGTCAAGTCCTTGGGAAAGCAAGCTCAGAGGGTAACTGCTGGAAACAGAAGTGTCCTGGCCAGGCATCAGGAGAGTCCTTTCTGGTTCTTGCCCAGTCACTTTGCTGTGTGACCTTGGGCAAGTTCCTTGCCCTCTCTGAGCCCCCATGTCCCCTGCATAGCACAAGAACTTGAGCCCCGTGAACCTGGAGGACCTTTCCAGCTCTGAAATCTCCTGTTCTAAGCCCCAAACCCCAGGCCTCACGAAACCCACCCAGGGGGCCCTGCTGCGCTCCCACTCTCCACCACGGCCTGGTTCGGATGAGGGGTGAGAGACAGGCCCCTCCACCCCACGTGGCTCTGAAAAACTCGGGAGGAGAAAGTAATCGTGAAACGCCGCACGGGGGAGGGGTGAGAAGGGCCGAGAAATGCGGAGGTGGTGTGAAGGAACGGAACAGCCGCCGCTGTGTCACCGAGCTATTACATCACACCCAGCCTACACACGCACGGGGCCGCACTCACACACACACACGGAGGACAGGCGGCACCAGGAGGGGCCCGAAGCCAAGGAGCGGGAACACCACACACACCCCGCAGGGCGTGTCCCCCCGGACCCGGGCGGGAGGCACAGCAGAGCATCCGTGCCGTCCGTGCCACACTCGGACCTGCCGGGGCCGGGGGCACACACACCAGGCTCAGCAGCACTGTAAGCAGAGAGCACCCAGCTCACAGCTGGACCTGCGATCACACACACACACAGTCACGCACAGCAACCTCTGGAGCGCAAGGCACCACTTAAGAGCCACAGACCCTCCGTCCTCCCCCTGGAGTCTCTGAAACCCACAGAGCCCCAGGATCTCAGGTCCTGGGTCCAAGGGCCTGTCTTCCTCCCCTCTGCCCACACTCCTTGAAGCAGAAGGTTCTCGGTCAATGTGTGCCCAGGAAGTCACTGCCTGGTTTGTGGGGTGTAGGCCTCCCTTTCCCCAGGCAAACTTGCCAGGAGAAAATCCCAGGACTCATCTGGAAGTCAGGAAAAAGGGCAGAGGTCAAGCTAGATCCCGCCCAGAAGTTTATCAGCTGCAGTGAGGGCAAGAAGGCCAGGGGACAGGGATGGATGAGGAGGTCCTGCACCCCCTACGGGAAACAGAGGGGCCTAGACACAACTCTTTAGCCCCAGGCCCTTGGGCCTCCCTGGGCCTGCTTCTCCATCCGTATCATAAGAAGGCGGAACGATTTCCGCCATTCAGAAGTTACTTCGACAAATATTTATATTATTTTTAAGTGACTTGGAATGAGGGGAGCCTGTGGAATAAAATGCAGATTCCCAGGCTGTCGCCCCAGGAATTCTGATTCTGCCTGCTTTCCGGGACCACCTGGCTGATTCTGTTGCAGGTGGCTGCTGGCCCCAGTTAGAAATGCACTGACCCCTGGTCCATCAGGGCCCTTCCAGCTTGGACAGGCCCCCGTTCTTCCAAGGTGAAAGCTGCTGGAAGATGAGGGAGGGGGCTGCAGGCACCGGTGGGCTCAGCAAGGCCAGACCCCGGGGCAGCCCGAGGGCCGTTTTGCACGGACCTTAGATTCACGAAGGTTCTCAATTTAGTTCCAGCCATTCTCAAATGGGGGCGATTCGCCCCCCAGGGGACATCTGGCAATGTCTGGAGACATTTTGGTTATCATAACCAGGGGGCAGGTGTTGCTGGCACCTAGTGGGCAGAGGACAGGGATGCTGCTAAACATGCTAAATAAGACATCGTATAGGACTGCCCCGTACAACGGAGAACCATCAGGCCTAGCACCCGGAGCTGGAGAAGCCCTGACAGTTACAAGGGCAAACCGACCACAGTGAAAACCAATTAAAAAAGGCCACCACTCATCCAAGAGCTTTCAACCTTGCTTTCCACAGTGTCCCCTTGGCATTTCTTTATTTTTTAATACACCAGAAGCCTCAAAAAGCAGACACGGCCAGGGCTTCTTGCAACCTTCAGGTTGCACCCAGAACCCCTCTGCTGCCCTTAGGGGTGGGTGGGCAGGCCCCTGGCCAGCAGGCCTGGCCGCGGCCCACCCCCGACCCCAGAACCGCCTGGCCTCCCTCTCCCACAGGTCCCGCCTCGGCCTGCCTCCTGCTGATGCTCCTGGCCCTGCCCCCAGCAGCCCCCAGCTGCCCCATGCTCTGCACCTGCTACTCATCCCCGCCCACCGTGAGCTGCCAGGCCAACAACTTCTCCTCCGTGCCGCTGTCCCTGCCGCCCAGCACGCAGCGCCTCTTCCTGCAGAACAACCTCATCCGCACGCTGCGGCCCGGCACCTTCGGGCCCAACCTGCTCACCCTGTGGCTCTTCTCCAACAACCTCTCCGCCATCTACCCGGGCACCTTCCGCCACCTGCAGGCCCTGGAGGAGCTGGACCTCGGCGACAACCGGCACCTGCGCTCTCTGGAGCCCGACACCTTCCAGGGCCTGGAGCGGCTGCAGTCCCTGCATCTGTACCGCTGCCAGCTCAGCAGCCTGCCCGGCACCATCTTCCGCGGCCTGGTCAGCCTGCAGTACCTCTACCTCCAGGAGAACAGCCTGCTCCACCTCCAGGTGAGCCCGCCCCGCCCGGGCCGCGCATGCGCACGCAGTCCCGGCCCGCTCTCCCCTGTCCCCGGGCCGGTCCGGCTGCTCGGGCCCCGGGGCCCCGGGGGCCCCCCTTCCCGCCAAAGCTTCTCTAGTTCCCCGCCCCTTTCCTAAGTTTCTGTCCCCCTCACCCTCGCCAGGGGCTCTTCTTTATTTTCTCTCTTTACAGCTTCCTGTCAATGCCCGTTTGGGTCCCTCGCGGCCTCGCTCCCTCACCCTCCAACCCCCCCATGTGTCTCCCTCTGCCCGTCTGTCTGTCTGTCTGTCTATCCCTTTCTGTCCCTCTCTGCCTCTTTCACTAACTTGCCTCCCCCGTCTGTCTTCTGCCTCTTCTGTCTGTCTCCCTTCACACGCCCACTCCACACACTCCCCCATGTCTGTCTGGGTGTATGTACGTTTCTCTTTCCGTGATCCCTCCTTTCCCCCTTGCTTGCCTTCGGGGGACTCTGCCTTTCCCCAGGCACCCAGCCCGAAGGCCTTAGTGGCTGCTTTTCTCACCCACCCCTACACCCTCCCACCTCGGGGGGAGGAGGAACAAGAGGGCAGAGCCCCTGTAATCATGCCCCCATGGAAGGTTCCGCCTCTCTCCAGCTCACTGGGTATTGGGACAAGGGGGAGCCCTATCCTTTCCAGATTCCCCCCAAACCTGTCATCCCTGTGCAAGGGAAGAAGGAAAAGAAAAGGGTAAAGAGCGGTTAAGTAGCTGGAAAATGGATGCTCTGGAAACGGAAGGAATAACAGTAATTGCTATTTATTGTTATCATCATTGATCTAAATATTGTTTATTGTTGTTGTTATGCTGACTGTCTGACAGCCAGATCGTCCCGTTCTGTTTCCCCAGGAAGCAATCACACACCCTCCAAACCACTCTGGAAGAAATTCCTCCCTGGGCTACACAGCCTCTGGTTGGAAGGGGGCAAAGACCTCCAAATTCTACCCCCACCCCCAGCCCCGCCCCCACATAAGCCTGGAAGGCACTTGCTCCTCCCCATCCTGGTCTCGCCAATGTGCTGGTTTGCACACCAGGTCTGTGCTGATATTGACAGTGATGATGAAACAGGTGGAATAGCCTGACAGGTATACCGAGCACCCACTGTGTGTTAGCTGCGGAGGAGACAGCCGTGAGGGAAACAGACGAAGCTCGCTACCTTCGGAGATAGCGTTCTAGTCGGGGAGAGAGGCAAGAAAAACGCATAGTCTGCTGGAAAATTCTGTCATGGCCATTATCACTGCCTAAAAAATGGTAACAGTAGCGCCCACCACGACTTAGGAGACACACTGTGTGTCTGGCACTGTGCTAAGGACTATACATCGACTCTGGTACCATTTACAGGCGTGTGACGAATTTTAACCTTCCTGAGCCACAGTGTTTCCATCTGTAAAACGGGGGCAGCAACAGCCCCCCATCTCCTAGGGATTTTATAAGCGTTCAGGGCATGAATAATTTGTAAAGCACTTAGAATAGTGCTTGGCATACGGTAAGCACTATATAAATGCTTGTTAAAATACTATTTTAAAAAGAGAAACAAGCCTCATTTAACATTGGCCTGGGTGAAATGACCCGTCTTGGACCTGATCCTGGAGATTTGGGTCATCTTCATGGATGATACTGAGGCCACGAGTGGGTCCCAGAATACTCCCTCCCTTTCCTTTGCTTCCTAAATTTGCCTAGCACCTCAGGGTTTACAAAGTATATTCAGCCACCTCATCTCACACCTACCGCCCTTTCAGAGGTTGTCTCCTTACAGATGAGGAAGCGGAGGCCCGGGACCCAAAGACTTTGCAGATAGAAGGCCTCTACACATCAACTCTCTTACACCACTGTCCGTGTGATTGGGGGCTTCGTGTCTCACCTTCACAACAGCCTGGTAGTAGGGGACAGGTAGGGGCAGTAGGGACACAGAACAGAAGTTGCTGGGGCCACACAACCAGGAAGAGCATGGTACTGGAGCCTTCGCGGTCTGATGACATTTCACAACAAGCGTCTGAGGCGCTATCATGATCGTATTACTCCTAGTAGTTGGACGACTCCTACTGACACCCTGACCTCCTTACCGATACAATTAGTTGTTCAGAATGACGAATCTGGGGCCAGGGAGCCTGAGTCTGAATCCCTGCTCTGCTGTTTTCCGACTTACTTGAGGCAAGTTGCCTCCCCATTCTGAACCCCAGTTTCCTTACCCATAAAATGGGAAAAATAAAAATAAGACCTTCCACAAAGAATGGCTATAAAAAGCCAATGAGTTTGTGAATATAAAGCACGTAGTTCAGTGCAGAATAAATCATGTCATGATGACCTGACCCTTTGGGTCTCTCAGGCCACGAATGGTAGCCAGCACCTGGGCTCAGGAAAGGTCTGGGCAAAGGGGGCCTTGAGTGGATGCAGGGGGTAGAGGTGGGGGGGTCCTTCTGAAACGGGAAGTGCTTGACCTGCACCCCACGGTGTGAATGGTGCGGGGGCATCACGGGGAGGGAGCATCTCCGCACCTGGCCCCTTCGTAGAGAAGAAAGAGCGAGCCAGCCTCTGCCTGGGGCTGGCCTGGGAGAACCAGGCCAGGAGATGATACAGGCAGGTGAGGAAACGTGCGGCTGGGGCGAGATCCACAGGACGCAGGTGTGACCGAAGATGGAGCTCCCGAGAAGGGAGCTTTGGAGGGGGCGAGGGCCCACAGCTTTTCAGGAAGAGGAAGGTGAAGATGGAGGCGGGGTGGGGTGGAGTTTCTCAAGGACTGTCTGTTGTAGGCCAGGCACTGTACCAGGGGGCGTTCATTCATCAGTGGGTATTTATGGAGCACCTACTACATGTCAGGCGGTGTTCTGGGTGCCAGGGATTCAAGTGAGCAAAAACAGCGTCCCTGCTCTCCGGGAGCTTATTTCCTACTTGAGTAGAACCAGAGGATAGAAACACCAGCTCTCTCCTTCAATCACGACAGCCTGCATGGTACATAAGGGCAGTCTTCGTACTCAGACAGACCTGGGTGTGTATCCCAGGCCCACCTCTGGCTTGCTGTGTGGCTCTGGGCAAGTTTCTTCACCACTCTGAGCCTCCATGGATCCACCTGTAAAGCGGAGGAAGTGACCTGTGCCTCAGACGCTTGTTGTGAGGATTAAAGGAGATGCTACTTGCAAAGGGCTCAGCACAACATGTCGTTCAGAGTAAGCATCATTTCCTCCACGGCTGGGGACACTGAGCCTCGGTGAAGTCCAGGCACCAGTCCGAGGTCACCCAACCATTTAGGAGCACAGCCTAGAAACGGGCCCCGCTCTGCCTAACTCCAGAGTTCACACCCACGTTCCACCACATATAGCTGTTGGACCCTAGGCAAGTCACTTGCCTTCTGGGGGCCTCCCTCTCCTATTCTCCGGAAGGGACGTAATAATATTATCTGCCTCGTGGGGCTGTGATGATTCAGTTACTACATGGGATCTGGGTAGCAAAGAGCTTGGCACCCAGTGTGGGCTCTGACGCAGACAATGATGGTGACACCTGGCAGAGATTGGTGAGCACTGTGAGTGGGGGTGCCTGGCACAGAGCAGACATTCAATACAGCTTTGTTGAATGAGTGAGGTACACTCCAGGACTCACTTACTCATAAGTATCAGATGAGGCTAGATCTTAATGATCAACTGTCTCACGTCCCTTGTTTCATAGATGAAGAAACCTGAGGCTCAGAGAGGTTTGTGGAGCTGCCCAAGGTCACACAGCCCAGCAGCTAAGTGCCAGAGACTGGAGTGGGGAAGGTGGAAGGAGGCAAGCTTAAGAGCAGGATGCTGGATGCCATGGGGGCCTGGGGGGGGGGGGGCGGGGCAGGGATGCTGCGCTGAGATTCCAAATGGATGCAGAGAGCTGGGAACCGACCTGCGGGGAGGTGAGGGAAATGTGGTTTTCGAAATGGAAGTGAATGACTTTAGCAGCCGCTCTCAGCCCAGAGGGAGGGGGCGCGGGGTGGGGAGGGCGAGGGCTGTGAAAGTCAAGAGCTTATTAATGCACAGAGAACGTTTTAACAGGGAGAGAGGAAGGCCCAGATTTGAGAGCTGTAGCCCAGGAAGTGGCTGTGGGATTTGGCAACAGCTTGGATGAAGGGAGGGCTATGGACCCCCAGACAGAGGCTCAGCGAGGGGAGGGCCAGGACATTTGCAAGAGGGAAAAGGGGGAAGAAGAAGAGGTTGAGATCAAAGGATTCTGTAGCCCCCAAACTGGGGCTGCGGATCAAAGGTGCCTGAATTTCTGGGGCGTCTGAACCTTTGGTCTTCCCTTCCTGACCTCTGGAAGTCCCCAGAGTGCTGATGACCTTTGCTTCTACCCCCACCCCATACTGATCCTGACCAGGTATCTCCGGGTGTGTCCCCCCACGGCTGACACTCCATAAAAAGGGAAACCCTAACTAGATGTCTGAGTGGAAGGGTTTCAGAATGCACTCCCTGGGGGCCGGGAAGAGAAGGACAAGGGCACCAGGCCAAGCTGGGACAGGCTGAGGCCACAGGCGTGCAGAGAATCCACTGAGCTGGGCATGGGGTGGTGGCAGCAGGGGGCAGAGAACGCTGGTGTCAGAGACAGCCAAGAAGGTTGAGGGGACGGATCTCAATGTGGCCAAGAGGAGGGTTCTTGGCAGGCTCAGTTCCTGTAGCGGAGAGGGCGGAAGGCAGATGGGAGGGGGCGAGAAAACGCAGGAGCACAGGAAGGTGGAGGCTGTGGGTGTGGGCTGGGAGTCAACGCCCTCCCCCCACCTGAGAGCCTGAGACCCAGGCTCCTGGGTGGGAAGGGCGGGATCATCCCCCAGCCAGGAAAGGGTGGGAAACAGCCCGGAAACAGGACCCAGCGGTGAGCAGGCTTCAACACAGTAGATGCTCTCATCCCTGAGAACCAGACCTTCTGAGCCTGCTGACCACAGTGATGTCCTGCACAGAGGGGAGGACCTCGTACTGGGGCTCTGGGCCCCTCTCTGGCAAGCCCTTGGTCTCTCTGGGTCTCAGTGCTCTCCTCTATAAAAAGTGGGGCTGGGCCAGTGGGCCCAGAAGCACTAACTCCCAAGTCTGGCTAACCACCACCAAACTGGTGAGCTCGTTAAAAGGTAGAATCCCGCTCCCTGCCTGCTACCCCCCACCAAGAAGCAAACCTATACCTATTCCTGCACCCCCATTAATTCTGAATCACCATTCAAAATCCTTCCAGCACTAACAAGGCCTGATTCTGGGACTCCCCAGCCCCAGGCAGGCAGGTGGGACAGCCCTCTAAGGGGGCCAGTGATGCAGGGCATCAGCCAGCAGCCTTCCTTCCCCTCTCTGCTGCCTCTGGGGGGTGGAGCTGACACCCGGCCCGTCTAATATCCTATTGAAGTAGAATAGCAGACCTTTTGAGCCCCAGGCAGCTCCTCTGTTAGAGGAATAGGGATGGACCCAACTGTAACTGAGATCCTACTGTCGTAATAACCACTATTTATTGATGGTGGTCTATGTGCCCACAGGGTGCCGTATCCTTCCAGCATGATCTCACCCAACCCTCCCTCAGCCCGCTGAGTTATACATCCTAAAGAAACTGAGACTGGATGAGGCTGAATAACTTGCCCAAAATAACACAGCTGGGAAGAGGGCAAGCTGGATCTGAAGCCCCGGGCTCTCACTCCTGAGCCTGTGGGCTTCATTGGACCAAATCCCAATGTGCCAGGCACTGGGCCCAGCACTTCACCCATCTGCTCTTTGTGTGGCTTGTCTTCCTTAATCCTCAGCACCAACACAGGAGGATGTACACTCATCCCCATTTTATAGATGAGGAAACAGGCTTAGAGAAATTACTGGCTTGGCCAAGTTAACAACAGTGGCCAACCCACCGAATGCCTACCTCATGGAAATCTTATTCTAAGTAACTTCATAGATGTTGCTTCATTTAATCTCCACATCTTACAGCTGAAGAAACGGAGTCAGAGATACTGAGCCTTGCCCAGAGTGGCAGTCAGTACTGATAGCTCCAGGATTTGAAGTCAGGAAGTCTGGGCGCCCAGCCTGCATGCTTAAGCAAACCGGGGGTGCTCATTCTCCAGGTGTGGTCCTCTGACCAGCAGCATCAGCACCACCTGGGAACAAATCCTGCAGCCGCACCCCAGACCTGCTGAATCAGAAACTCGGGGCGGGGGTGGGGGGTGGGGGGGGCGGCACAGCACGCAGGGCTCTGCAGGGGATTCAAAGCACTAGCATTTAAGAACTACTGGCCTCAACGATATTGTTTTCCCCACATTACCTTCTTTTTTTTTTTTTTTTTAAAGAATTTCCCAAGAGAATGTGTTCTTTTTTTTTTAAGATTTTATTTATTTATTCATGAGAGACAGAGAGAGAGAGGCAGAGGGAGAAGCAGGCTCCCAAGGAGCAGAGAGCCCGATGCGGGACTCGATCCCAGGACCCTGGGATCATGACCTGAGCTGAAGGCAGTCGCTTTACCAACTGAGCCACCCAGGCGCCCCCCACATTACCTTCTTAATAGGTTAGGGGAGGCGGGATTCGAACCCAGATCTCTCCAAATCAAACCGTCAAACCCTTTCCGTTCTAGCACAACGCTCCCCCTCCTTCCCCTCCTCCCCACCTGCCTCTGAGGACCACTCTCTTCTTCTCCCCCCGCCCCCCCCCCCCCCCAGGATGACCTGTTCGCGGACCTGGCCAACCTGAGCCACCTCTTCCTGCACGGGAACCGCCTGCGGCTGCTCACGGAGCACGTGTTCCGCGGCCTGGGCAGCCTGGACCGGCTGCTGCTGCACGGGAACCGGCTGCAGGGCGTGCACCGCGCGGCCTTCCGCGGCCTCAGCCGCCTCACCATCCTCTACCTATTCAACAACAGCCTGGCTTCGCTGCCCGGCGAGGCGCTGGCCGACCTGCCCGCGCTCGAGTTCCTGCGGCTCAACGCCAACCCCTGGGCGTGCGACTGCCGCGCGCGGCCGCTCTGGGCCTGGTTCCAGCGCGCGCGCGTGTCCAGCTCCGACGTGACCTGCGCCACCCCCCCGGAGCGCCAGGGCCGCGACCTGCGCGCCCTCCGCGAGTCCGACTTCCAGGCGTGCCCGCCCGCGGCGCCCACGCGGCCCGGCAGCCGCGCGCGCGGCAACAGCTCGTCCAACCACCTGTACGGCGTGGCCGAGGCCGGGGCGCCGCCCGCCGACCCCTCCACCCTCTACCGAGACCTGCCCGCCGAAGACCCGCGGGGGCGCCAGGGCGGGGACGCGCCCACAGAGGACGACTACTGGGGGGGCTACGGGGGCGAGGACCAGCGGGGGGAGCAGACGTGCCCGGGCGCCGCCTGCCAGGCGCCCCCGGACTCCCGCGGCCCGGCGCTCTCGGCCGGCCTGCCCACCCCTCTGCTTTGCCTCCTGCTCCTGGCGCCCCACCACCTCTGACTGCGGTGCTGAGACTGAAGAGGCCAGTGTGTCCGTCGCCCGCCCCCGCCCCCCGCTGCGGCTCGGGCCACCCGCCCCCTTACCGCGTCCCGCCCCGGCCTTCCTGTCCCCTCCCCAGGGACAGACCGGCCGCCTCTCCCTGCCTCCTGGGCTGCTGGCTGAGGACGGGGTTGCTTCGGGTGGCTCAGCCCTGTTCTCCCCGAGTCCGGCCATTAACTCTTTCCCTCCCCAAGCCTGGGGTGGGGCACCCCAGGCAGCCGCTGACCCCTTCTCCCAGTGCCCACCGTGGACTCGAGAGGGGGCTTTTGTCTGCAGAGCGTCTTCCACCAGCAGAGCCTTTGGAAGCTCCCGGGAAGGGAGCCCCACCCAGGAGCCCTTTGGAGGGATGCCTCAGTTGGGGCCAGGCTAGCCCTAGGCCCTTGCTTATCCTAGCCCCCCTCAGCCTCCCGACACTGGAGGAAGACTTTTCTCCTAAGTCTACCCGGGACACTTTTTAGGGTGCCTGGAGAGAACTTTCCTCTCCACCGTGGCCCCTGTGTGGTGAAGATCAACAGAAGTTGTTTGGGGAAAAAAAAAAAATTTATTAAAAAATTCTATTATTTTATCTTCTTCTGTAAGATTTGTTGGCTCAGGACCTCAAAAGTCGGAGGAGGGCTTAGAACAATCAGGATTCCAGGGCCAGGAGGGTTAGAGAAAGGGGATCCTTCCCAGGCCACCAAAGTGCTTCTTGCTGGCTGGAGAGCTGCTCCCCCATGATGAGAAGCTGAAGATTGAGAAAGAGGGGTGACCCTGGAGTCCCAAGCAGGCCATTGAAATCTGGTGAAATCTGACAGCCAAGAGTGGGTGCTGACATCGCCTCACCTCCCATTGGTCCGGGGAAGCAGCTACAGACGACCCTGAGTTGTCTGGTGCCTGAGGAGCTGAGGCTGGGGAAGGCCTCCAGCCTGGTTAACGGCTCCCTCCTAGGCCTGTTCCTTCAGGAAGGAAGAGCATTTCCCATCTTACCCTGCAAGGAGAAATAACAGACATCCAGGGTCACAGCCAGCCCAAATATGGCTTTAGGCAAATCTGAAAAAGGCACCTCATCCTCAGGGGAACCCAGCCCCACACCACAAGAAACACCTCAGCAAGCAGAGCCTAAGGCTGAATTTCAGCTCGTACTTGCCCCGTTGGCTGAGTGTCTTTGTGCAGTGTACAGCCTGCACAGCTGTACGCAACAACCCTAGAGATCAATGGTCTCTTTCCCTTGGCTCCAGAGGTGGGCCAGACCAGGTCAAGAAGCAGTTCTGCAAGCACATTAGAGGAGAAACCAAGGTCCTAGGGTGACCAGAGGGACATGAATCCCAAGTTGGGGTACTCTGCTGGCTTGAGGTATGATCTGAAGCCTCATCTTTCCAGTGTGTGCAAGGGAGGCTTAGGGTTAGGGCTAGGGAGGCCTGGGGAAGGAAAAAGCCCAACTGAGAAGAACTTGGGGTAGAGGTTAGGGGTGAGCCTCATCAGAGCAACTGGGGAGAAGTTTGATGGTTTACATTTAGGATTAAGAATCTAACCGCAGGGGGTGGGGGGAATGGAAAGAGAGGGGACCTGGATGCCAGGGCTCAGAGAGCAGGGATGCTGAGATCCTGTGACTCTGGCCAGGCAAGTCAAAAGGATGGCAAGAAGAGGAGGCAGAAACGGGAAGGAGTCGACAATGAAGGCCTGAGGCAGGTGGACCTCGGATAAGACTGTGGGATGGGTGGGGGAACAGTGAAAAGAGCCTGAATCAGGACCCTGGGGAGCTCCGGGTCTGGGGCCTCACAGGGAGCCTGTGTCAGGCTGGCTTTGGGGAGGCTAGCGAGCGGGATGGGGGGCAAGAGCTCTGATGGAGGAGGAGCTGCTGGGGACTGGGCAGGGGGAGGGAGGATGCTGGGAAATCAGAAGCAGGCTGTCCAGGTCACAGAATTATCGTTGTGAAATATTCATGGGCCTTCGGTCCAGATGCTATTTCAGAACAGTGAAAGCAAGAGGAGTGTGTGAGCCTCAGGAAGAAGTCCACAGCAATGCCTCTTTCCACCACCCCCACCTCCACCACCATCAGCCCAGACAGACCCACGGACGCCCATCACGTGCACACCCACGCTCACACGCTCTCTCACACACACTCGCACAATGCAGAGCAGTGGAGCACGTGCAGGCAAGCTGACACCCACGGGCCCCACAAACAGGCAGATGCACCCCAAATGCATGCACGCAGGACCCTGCACAGAGACCACCTCCAGAGATCTCACGCACCCGCCCCCCCCAGCGACTCCGGACAACTCAGATTTACAGCCTTGAGCCTCACACCCTGAAACAGGAGAGGCTTTCAAGGCCATCCCATCCAACCACCAGTGCTCTGATGGGGAAACTGAGGCCCAGAGAGGGGAAGGGATTTGTCCGAGAGTCCCCACCCCTGAACAAAACAAAGCTCATTCACCTGCCTCATTCTGTGAGTGGACCCACGACCTGAATTGTCTGCCAGCCCCCCGGGCGTGCTGTGCTTAACTCCTCTCTCTAATCTGCCCAGTTACCCAGTCCCCTCCCGGCCCGACTCATCCCTCCCTTTCCATTCTCCCTACCACCTCCCTGCTCCATCTCCTCATTACCTCATGCCTAGAATAGAGAAGAAAATAGCAGTACCCAGCTCTGGTTTTCCTACCTTCAGTCTCTCTCCCTCCCACCCACTGCCCATGGTGGCCAGATTCAGCCGACCAAAATTTGCATTGTGTTTTTCTGTCCCTCAGAAACCTACAATGCCTCCTTACTGCCTACAGGTTAAAGATGAAATGCCATAGCAGACCATCAAAGATCCTTCAGAGTCGGTTACCAACTGCCTTTCTAGACTTTTCTCTCATGGCCTCGCCCCAAATCTTCACTCCAGCTAGAATGATTCCATCACGCTGGCCGTCAGTTATCATGCACTTGCAACCCACAAACCTACTTTGAGCTCTCCCTAAAGTTCCTCGATCTCCCCCCCGGAACTAGGAAGCCTCTCCCCTCCTCCTCAGATGACAGACTCCAGACCCCTTCCCGGAGGCCCAGTCTGCACCTCTCTGACGTTATCAGTGGGGGTTCTTTGACTGTCCTTCAAAGCGGCGGTAAAGGCTCAGGCTCAGGCTACCTCCAGGCCGATGGCTGCCCCCCACTGGCCACGTTGGGACTCACAGCCAGGCTCCAGTCAACGTAAACTGAGCGTGAGCATCCATCCACCCGCCTGGGGAGCAGAACAGGAGGACGCCAGATGATGGGGTTTATAAGCCCTTAAGCCTCTAAGGTTCTTACACTCAGAGTAGCGGGGAGGGCTCTCAGCCCTGCTTTCGGAACTGCTGGCACCTGACTTCAGACCCCTAATCCCTAAGAGAACCCCTCTCCTCTGAGCTACAAAGACTTGGGGCTTCCAGGCCACTGCTGAAGGGAAATTCACCCACCAGGCTCTGAGAGGCCACAGGCCAGGGACAGTCCAGGTGGCAGACCCAAGGTCCGGCTGGGGTCAGGTTTCTACATGAATTTTTAATGCTTCCAGCCAGACCTGTCAGATGTTCCGAAACCTGAGCATCTCCTTTCATTTCTGTACGCCCGTGCCCTTCCCCATCCCCATTGCCCCTGGGGGTAGGGCAGGGAGGACAGGCCTGGGACAGCTACCAGTGGCCTCTGGAGAAATGATTTGGGGAAAGTGGAAGGTGAATGACCTAGTTATTCTTCCACTTACTGTGTGACCTTCAGCAAGTAACTTAACCTCTCTGAATGTCTGTTGTGTTTTTTCCATTTGTGACCTGGGGACAATAGCACCTGCTTAAATTGACTTGCTGTGGGGAGTAAGTACAATAACCCCGTGGAAAGGTGACCTACACATTTGCTGTTATTATTATCTTCCCTCAAGTCCAGCTTCCCTCCCCCTCTTACTTCCAATCCCAGGGGCGCCTCTTGCCCCTTTCTTTTGGAGGTGGGGGCTTTGGTCAGCTCTGCCATTCCCCCCTAAGATCCTTTGGCCTTTCTAGAAACTTCAGCTGAAGAGGGGGAAAGGAAGTGAGAAGCTGAGGCCAGGCCGGTGGAGTAAGAGAAGATGGTCCAGCTGAGGTGAAGGGGAGGGAAGCAGGCAGCTGCCAGGAAGGGGAAGACCCTACTCAGAGAGGGAAGAGCTAAGTGCAGGCTCATTTCTTTCCTTTTCTCCCTTTCTCCTTCCTTCCCTCCTTCCTAGCACCTTCTCCACACCTGGGCCAATCACACCAGAAGCCGGGATGGCCATTCTGAGCAGAGGTGAGGTCAGGAGCATGGAGGCAGCGTTGGCAGGGGGAAGGGGGGTGCTGTCGAAGGAGACTTGCCCAGTCTTTCCTGCCCACCAATTCCCTGCCAGTGGTTTTTAAGAACGGGGGTCTTTTACATCTGATTTAGGTGGGAAGTTGCTAAAATACAGATTCCTGAGCCCCTCAGCCCTGCTGAATCAGATCACGGAGGGACCCTGGAACTCATTTTAGACAAGAGGGGGTTGGTTACCAAGCACTCTAAAGGCTGAGAAACATCCCAAAGGTGGGGTGGTCAGGGAAGGGGGGGCAGACTGGGGAAAGCAAAGGGAGAAAAGTTAAATTCACCCCCACCCCCACCGCAGGCACACTTGGTGAAAGTAACAGACGACACTCCAGCGCCGAGAGGGTGATGCCGGGGATGGGGAATAAAGGAGGGAGGAGGCAGAGAGGGAGGACGCAGAGACCGAAGGGGGCGGGGACACAGCAGAAGTGAGACCCGAGGTAAGCAGCCACGAGCGGAAACAGATGCTTGCAAGGTGTCCCCCACCCTCGCGGCGATTTGAGACCCTGGACTTCTGGACGCGGGATGCGGACACGCTGGAAGAGTCGTCTCGGTTTCTGGGGGGGGGGGGGGTGGTCAGGGAGGAAGGCTAGCCTGCAGGGACCCGCGGCCCTCCCCGGAGGCCAACGCCCAGACGTCAGGACACTCACCTACCCCTCCCGGGCCAGAGCCCTCCTCCCCTGCCCTCGGAACTGGGCTCGGGTCCCGCCCCCGCGTGACCTTCTCCCTCCCTCCACCCCCCGGCCCCCGGTCCCAGCTCATCTGCATAAAGTTCCAATTAACACGTTTTCCCTCAGCTATTTACGATCCCTGAACTCGCTCCCAGCTCGGGAGCCGGCTTCCCGCCGCCCCCTCGCCCCTCGGGGTGCGGCCCTGTTAACCCTAGCGCCCCGGGCGGCTCGCGGCGGCCCTGACCCAGCCGGCCAGGCCCGCGCAGGGGGGCGGCCCAGGGGCGAGGGGCGCCCCTGGGATGGCCGGCTGCGCAGCGGGGGCCGCGGCAGGCCAGAGGCTAGGCTCTCCGGGAGAAAGGCCGGCGCTGGCCCCCATTCTTGCAGGGAAGAGATGGGGAGGGGGATTTCTCCTGGGAGACTCGGGGCGTCGAAATTCCTCGTTCCTCATCCTCCGGCCCCCGCACCCCTCCTCCCCCCAACACCCCCCCCGCCACGTACCCTCTCCCCTCCCCAGCCATCTGTTCCACTCGGCAGCGCCGCGACAAACACGGCTCTAGCTCGCTTCCGCCCCTGCCCAGCCCCCTCCCCAAGCTCTCCACCCCTCCCCGGGGAGGCCGAGATTTCTGGCGGCAACTCCCACCCGGTCCGAAGCCCCAGCCGGGCAGGGGCCGGCGTGCAGTCCCTCCCTCCGTCCGAGGGTCGGTGGGGGTGCAGATAACGCTTGAAAGGGTGGGGGTCGTGAAGGCGTAAGCGGTCCAAAGAGGGCAGCGCAAGCCAGGGTGGGAGTCTGGGGGTCGAGGCCCAGGGAGGACCGGCCAGCGGGGAGGCTGTGTGCGTGCAGGGGTGTGCGTGTGTGGCGGGTGGGGTTCCCTTTTGGTTCTCCGTCCCCCTCTCTCCACCCCCACCCCATCCCAGACGCAGCCCCGCAGCGCCGCCTGCTGGGCACACCCAGCACCCGGCCCACCCGCCTTGCTTC